ATTGTTTTGTAGCTTAGATAGCGAAAATATGGGGTATTTTATTGTATTTGCTTAATTATATACCATATTACTTTTGAATATGGGACATTTTATTGAATCTGCTTAATTATATACCATATTACTTTTGAAATAGGACATCTATAGATTTAAAATTGAATTTGGTTATTATTACACTGCTACTTACATGTACTTGATGAATTTGAAATTATTTTTCGCATCTCCGTTCTTCTATGATTCATGTTGGTAGGTCTCACTTATACATGACGCGCGCACAGGTTTAAAGGAAAAAAGTGTTTCGTAACAGTCCGTTACTACTTATTGATAGCCAGCCAGTTCAATTATTTGTGCCGCACGTGCAGGTCCTATTTGTTTTGTGTATCATTGTGCCTTGTGTAGTGTATTTGTGCAAAGAAAAGAATTTCCACGAATCCGGGATAAGTCACACATAAGGGAAATATTATATTAATTATCCATTTCAGATGAGAAGGTATTTCATTAAAAATTTTCTGTTAGCCGCCCTTGACTTGATAATACTAGCTCGTATACTATGGTACACGCAGAGCAGAGTTTTTAGACTAATTGAAATGCAAATTCCACATTAAGTGGATTGTCTAGCTGATCATATTGTAGTTGTTTTTAATTATTTTGATCGCGAACATTTGTTTACAGAATATACGGTCGTTTTATCCGTCTTAGTAGGGCGTAGCCGCTTTGGTTTTTTGCCCGTATTCCATGTGGCATGTAGAGAGTGGTTTTCACTCCGCTTAAATGGAAAGTCTAGCTAGCCATATCGTAGTTGTTTTAACTACCTTACCCGCAAACTTTTTGTTTGCCAAATATTTGGGGCAGTACGGTCGTTTTGACCGTCTTAATAGGGCGTAACCGCTTGGTTTTTTGCCCGCATTCCATGTGACATGTCGAGAGTGGTTTTCACTCCCTTGAATGGAAAGTCTAGCTAGTTATATCGTAGTTGTTTTAACTACTTTGCCCGCAAACTTTTTTGTTTGCCAAATATTTGGGGCAGTATACGGTCGTTTTGACTGTCTTAAAAGGGCTTAGCCGTTTTGATGTTTTGACCATGTCACCTATAACTTGTTTTAGACATTTGGGCGTAATTGTACTGCTATTTTTACCCTCTGCACACCATGGTATACACGCAAAGTGAATTTTTGGTTCTAAAAGCTTCCTATTATAAATTTGCCTTGCTTACATAGCAAAATTTAAATAATATGCTTAAAGCATTTTTTCAGAAGCAGTGATTGTACTGTGTTCCTAAAAAATAATTGTACTATGTACAAATATAATGCAATTTTTTTTTGAGATAGATCGGAGTTATGTTAACTCTTTCTTTACTCTTACGGGGTCTTACTCAAAATAGTGAGGTAGTATATACTAATACTCACCATTCCTTTTTAATTCAAACAAAAATTAGAAATTTACATATTTTTACAGATGAGAGTGAATTAGGTGCTCAACAAATTAATGTCGTATTTAGTACGAGTTCCTGGAGATATTTACGTCATATTAAACAGTGTAAAAGGCGAGTAATAAAGTTAAGAGAGTATAATTGTGAGCAGTATGGATAAGAAGAGCGATGTGAAGAAGAGGTTACTGGTAAAAGGAGCCTTTGATGTAGATAAAATAAAATAATTGGAAATAGAGTACATGAAATCTAAAAATGAGTGCATTGTTTTGTCACTCAGTAGGTACTATTCTACAATGAAACTTAATGCGAATTATATACGCAGTTTTGCTAATAACACCTTATGTATTTTATTTGATTAAAATAATCTATATAGATGTTATATGAAAATCTAACTGTATACATTTCAGACTTAGAATTATTTCAAACTATAATGCGACATTGTATTGTATAAAGATTAACATTAGAACAAAGGAGTATTGTCAAGTTGCCAAGGACTTCTAAGAAACTTAATTGTTTCTCATCAGCTTTTGCTGACAAAAAACTAACGAACTTTTAAAAAGGCCTGGTAATAAAGCAATACCACCTTAGTTAGTCGTTGCATCGCCATATACACCTTAATTTGTTGTCGCGTTGCCACACAACTCTGTGTCATATTAAAATAAGTAATTAAACTTAAAAATCAAAGTTCAAAGTAAAAACTCCCAGATTGTAAAAGATAGTGAAATAAACAAATTATTTGTAGTTAAAAATAAAGTTTTTTTTAAAAAGTTAAAAGTGATCCAAGTGACCTAACATAGATATAGGTGTGTACATACATGTACGTAAGTATGTGTATATAAACAAAAAAAAAACATTCGATTACTAGGTATGGCACTATAATCAAACATGATACATCAGAGTGACATGTTATTATAGAAAACTTAATTGAGCAACTCCTCTGTCTCTATAAGTATATAAAAAAAAAAGACCGATCAAGTTTTGTTTTTTATACATACTGTTTCATTTATGACATTGTATGAAAAGATAGTAATTGAGGAGATGACAAAATTAAGTGATAATAAGGGAACTTTCAATGAAGTATTAGGAAGCAATTACATAACGAAACCTTAAATGAAGTATTAGGTTAGAAGAAGAGTAGCCTGATAGTATGAATAAAAATGTTAATATTAACCAGAGTTACAACATAAGAAGCGTACGAAATTTATAAAAGTTAAAAAATATACACTGTAAGGAACATTTAACCTATTTTCACTCAATTTCACTCAATAATGTATCAATTTCTGTCCATTCGATTGAGTGAAATTTTCCTCTATTAGTATGAGTAGATACAACTAAAATTTTATGAGTGAAACTATCGGTTCAAATATTATCAAAAATGTGTAGAGTTGTCAAGGTGCCCAGTATTGACTGAAAATGTGCTCAATGATTTCACTCAATGGATTTCACTCAGACTGATTTATTTACAGTGTATATCCAGGTATATGCCTGTACAAATAAATATATAATTCACCAAGTATGGAATTTTGTTGATTGTGGCCAAACAAGTCAAGAGTTTGCATCTGTTAAGATGAACTACATGCCATTTGAAGGTATAATACACAAATTATATTAGTACAAGTAATATCGAAATAGTCCTATCTAAAAACTACATCAAAGACAGACAAAATCAAAAGGATGTTTAGGAAGTTTAAAATATAAGTCCAGACATATTAAACCAATTAGTAAAATGAATATAGCAAAAACTGGCAACTGCATCTTACTTTGAAGAGGTATTCAATTAGTGGCCATATACCAATGCCATTCAGAGACAAAGTTGTAAAAAACGGCTTCCATTAAGCATGTTTATTCAACATACTGTAACTTTATAGTTATGTTCTTTGGGCTATGAATCAAAGAAAAATTTGGCTTTCACAAATAAAAGCAACAATTTATATCACACTTATATAACAGGTATACATCAAATATCACGAAATAGATAACTACATTTGTATGTGTCTTATAGCTATTATGTCAGTGGACTGTACATTGACTTGAATTTGAATAAAGTCCAAAGTAAAAATTTCGGTCATGCTAATAGTTACTGATGTTTCTGAAACAAAATATCAAGACGAAATTCAAAACGTTTCAAATGCTACAGTTCTTTTATTTCTCAATGATACTTTATCTAAATTAGCTTGAAAATGTAAACCTATTGCTTCCCTTTTTCTGTAATAATATTTATATAGAAAGGGGTTAAATGTTGCACCCTCTTTATGACATGAGTACCTGAGCATGCGCAGTCACCATCTTTAAGAAAAAAGCGGTGCTGCAATCTGCTTCCCTCAGGTCTTGTGACGCATTGTGCATGCTGTTAGTAGCAAAGTTTAGTAGTGCTAGGGTTAGTACAGACTAATGGCTATAATCTTTCTGATGTCCTGAGATGATGATAAAATTCTATCCCCAGGAATTTGTGATTTATCACCATTAAGCATTCATAGTATCAAAGAATGTATATATATATAATCCTCGTGTCTATACTTTACGCCAGTCCTCAGTCAAAACCTAAAAAGCTACAAGTAGGTACCTCCACATTACCAAATTGGTAAAGGAGCGACGATTTCTAATGTCCCATTGTAACGTACTTTACTCGGTTGCCAAATTTTTGTAACACCCTTTATATACTTTACTTTATTTTGGTTTTGATTTTTCGGTGGTGACGGTTCGGTTCAGACGTTACTTATGGCCGCCCCCGGTATACTACCAACTCTAAACGGAATCTTAATTCACAATTGCGAATTCTAATTTNCCCCCGGGGGTATACACAGACGAGCCGGCGAAGAAAGAAGAGCGCCAGAAGAAAGGGCCCTAGCCGGCGGGGCCCAGCCAGGACAGGAGGAGGCCCCACGAACCGATCCAATCCGGCCGCGTTGGCGGTCCGGAATGACGGGGAAAGGGCCTACCTCTACGAGGCGTCCGGGCCTACAGCGATGAAGTGGGTAAAGAGCGATAATCCCGCTCGACCCCGCTCCATCCGAGGTCATTTTTCCTGCCAAGGATATTGGCGCGCGTTACGTTCATTTGATATCGTAGCCTCTTGGTCTACAACAGATCGTTGGTTTTATTGATACAATCCCCCCTTGACTAGGCAGGAGTCGTGGTGGGATGATGCGCGCGGCCCTCGACAAAGTGGGGCAAACGGACGGTTCGACTCGACTCGCGGTTAATTGCTCTCACCCAATTAAACTAATTAAATAAATAACTGGCCCACGGCCTTGCATAAAACTGGAAATTAATACCGGTTCATTACACCGTTTCCGAGATTCCTGTAGTGAGAAGCGAATTTGTAACAGCCGGTATATAATATATACTCATCAATGGTGCGGGCAGGGGCGGAAGATATGGGGTCATACCCAAACTCTCAAGTCATCTGACTAACAAAAAAATGAATTGAAAATTGAGTCTACAGTGACCACCCGCCCCCCTCAAAACTTTTTTCTGCTTATTCTGTTACCACTCATTCATTTCAAAATATTTTGACTAGAAAAACATATACTCATACAAAAATAATTTTAAACAAATTTCAGTTTTCCCATGGAACTACATATGGTATTTTATAGCGAAAAATATAACAATTTTAATGATGCCGCAAATCAAGCTGATGGTTTAACTGTGTTATCATTTTTATACCAGGTAAGTACATTGTACATATTTTAGAAATTGCAGGTTATTATTTTTGGTTCGATACGTCTAATTAGAGTGCACGATTCTAACCACATGGAGTGGTATTGTTAATTTCTAACTCAACTCTGGCACTAGAAGTGTCGCTGATTTAATTTAAAAGATAATGATACTATTAACGATGAGACGACCGCAATAACAACAACAATGGTAATCACGATACTAACAATAGCTTAATACCTTTTAAAGATAAGTAAAAGTACAAAAACTAATATTATATGAAAACGAGCGAGTGACAGGTCCTTTTTTTTTTATTGATAATGACAAAGAATTATAAGTTTAAATTATTTCATAAAACAAAGGACTATTTTTAAACTTTATGTTAAGTCATCAATTCAATAAGTTATTTTTAAAATAAATGTTATTTTGCGTAAGAGTAAACATGCCTTATTTTGCAAGATACAAAAAAAGGCATTCTTGATAAAAGTTTCTGCTTGAAAAGTGAATAATATTTAATTAAATTTTTGATAACGTGACTCTTATTCATTTTTCAAGCAAAAACTTTTATCAAGAATGCCGTTTTTCGTATCTTGCAAAATAAGGTACCTACCATGTTCACTCTTATACAAAATAACGTTTTTATGTTTTTAACACGCCCTGTACAACAAAATTGAAGTTCGTCATGGTGATTCGTATTTTCTAAACAAGCAAAAACTTTTATCAACAATGCCTTTTTTCGTATTTTTCACTTTTTGTCATTTTTGTCCTCTTGTAAATTCAATCCGCGGATATACTGTATACAGGGTGATTCTAAATATGTAGCCAACCTTATAGACCAGAAACTAGAGTTCAAAATAGACTGTTTGAACTAATTTATCTGTATACCAAAATGCACCCCTAACGAGGTACAGCCTCTTAAAGTTGAAACAAAAAAAAAGTAAAAATACAAATTTTTCCTAAATACTTGAAGATATTGTTTTCAAATTTAGCCAATATGACCAATACAAATAGCCATGTTTCAACGCGAATGTGAATAAAATTCATTGACAGCATGGGGGTAATGTAGGGGTAGTCGCTCTTTGTTTCACCCAGTATTTTTTATACTCCCTATTTTGATGGTGCAGCATGCATCATTGGACAGATAATTTAATCATAAAAGTTTTTTTTCTCTTGAAATTTTTTGATGGTAGTAATATCAAACGAGATAATTTGATTGTATTAACTATTTTAATGTAAAAAACGAACTGCAAATAAGGTAAGTACTATTAAATGCATAATTCTTATTATTAGTAATTAATTAAATTTATAATATTAAATGACAATTTCAATAAAATTTATTATTAAAAAAATACTAATTACTTAAATATTATTCTCAAAATGCTTGCCTTCTGCCTGAAGGCAAGTCTTGGTCTAAAATTGTACTTCCCTCGAATCAAAATTTCAATGTTATTGCGAAGTTCATTTACTGCATTTCGTACATGAACCTCTAGATTTTCCAAATTATGTACTGGTGTAGAATAAACTAGGCCTTTAAGGTGAGTCCAAAGATAAAAAGCACACGGATTATGATCAGGAGAACGCGGTGGCTCAGCTATTGGTGCATTTTGGCCACGACCTATCCACCTTCAGGGAAAGTGTTGGTGTAACCACTAGCGTACAGTCAAAGAGTACTGTGCTATATACAGCATTTAGGCTCCATTGGGCTCCTTGTACTTCCTCCCATTAAGAGATCTATCCACCTGAGCCGTTAACCAACCTACTACAGAGAAAAAGGTGACGTTGCTCAGGGGGATCTCTAATATAGGCCATAGAAAGCCAACGCTCTCCCAACATGAATTCTCTTGTTGACGAGACGGCAGTGCATTCGCATAACACATGTAGTCTCGTCTTCCTGTTCACAGCCCCTACAAAGAGGTGTTTCACACTTCCTCATGTTGTAAAGATGCTTCCTTAGCCAACAGTGTCCAATTTGAATACCTGTCACCAGGCGAAGATTTGACCTAGACATGGATATTTTTAGGCTGTATCCTTGTATTCTAAGAACTCCTTAGCAAAATGACAGCTATTTGTTTCATCCCACCATTCCGTAAATTCTTTGTGGCTGTTTTCCTTGATAATTTCAGCGAGTGCTGACAGCGAAAGCACACTGGAGGGGCCGGGTCCAAAAATATTGAGGCCCGATGCACTTCTGGCTAGCTGTCAGCTTCTTTATTGCCATTGCACCGCTCGTATCCCTTAACCCAGCATACAGATATGCTGTTGGAAGCTGAGGCCACGACCAGTGCTTGGTGGCATTCCCATACTGACATAGTCATTATCTTATGATTACATAAAATCAGTAGTGCTTGTCTATTATCTGTGTAGATTCTAATGGTTTTACCCGCAGTGTGTGTCTATTAATGACGATTTCTTTAGCGGCTACAGTTATACCTGCTAATTCCGTTTGTACCACGGTAGCATGCTTTTCCATTGCTCACTGATATCGGATATCCAAGGATCTAGAATATATGCTTTTATGCTTTAATTGGCCCCAGTTTTCTCTTCCTCTTGAAGAGAACCGTCTCCGCCTTCCTGGGGTTGACTGACGGAGCATGGCCCTCATGTACACCACTTTTCAATAGTTCTTAGGGCTATTTGCATTCTTTGGCAAATAATCTCTTCGAATTTTCCACTAAACAGCATAGTGAGGTCACCTGCTTAAACGATGGTATAGATGCCGATTTCCGAGTTGAGGTGGCATAGGAGAATGTCTTGAACTATAAGTTCCACAGTAATGGTGATAAAACACCTCGCTGCGGACAGCCCCTTGCAACAATTCCTCTCGCGGAGGCATCTACCACACTGATTGATATAGCTCTTTTAGTGAGCATATTTGATATCCATCTACAGATAATAGGAGCTAAGTTAATTTTTGGGAAGGTCGTTTTGTCAAACGCCCCTTCTATGTCAATGAATACCCCCAGGGTGAACTCTTTATTGTCCAAGGATTTCTCCATTCTGACTACCACCTGGTGGAGGATAGTGTCGGTAGATCGCCCTGAAGTGTACGCATGTTGGTTAGGATGTGGCTGTCTATCCATTAGCACACTATCCCTTATATATCGCTCACACAGCTTTTCCATCGTTTTCGGCAGAAACGAGGTCAGGCTGATAAGTCGCCTTTGGGGAGATATAATCCAGCCTGCCTGTTTTGGGACTTCCCTCTAGATTTTTGGAATGTAAAGGTGTGCAAAGCACAGCCTAAATATTCGTTCCAGATGCAACATTGAAATATCCATGCCCATTGTAAGAGTCAATGCCTGGTGATTTAAAGGGTGAGAAGGTTATTTTGTTCTACAGTCTGGTTGGCGAACTGTCAATCCATGACTGCAGGTAGGTTTTCAGTTTCGTCTGGCCATTCTTCCCGTTCCAGTAGTGTGGATCTCGGAAAATGGTTCCGCATCAGCAGTTCCAGATTTTCATTTAGATTGGTGGTTCTTTCGCCATCCTCAGTAGATATATGAGGCGGGTTCTGGACCAGGAAGTGACGTGGCAAGGTCACCTGGGGTCAAGGTCNACTTCCATGCCGCCATGACACTTCTTGTATGACGATACTTCCATGCCGCCATGACACTTCTTGCATGCCAACACCCACTCATCTCTTGCACAACGACAATACCCACAAGAAGCCGCTGAAGGAGCGATATACACTGACTATGTGGCGACCTTGACCCCAGGTGACCTTGACCCTAGTTGACCTTGACCTCAGGTGACCTTGACCCCAGGTGACCCCAGGTGACCTTGACATGACCTTGAGGTAATCTTGACCCCAGGTGACCTTAACATTACCTTGGGGTGACCTTGACCCCAGGTGACCTTGCCACGTCACTTCCTGGTCCAGAACCCGCCTCATATATCTACTCCTCTCTGGTTAGTAGGTCTAAATCATGATCTTTCTCTTTTGCAAGGATCTTACATAGTCTAGCGGCCTGCGAGCAGTCTTCAATATCCTCACACTAGACTCTCCATGACCAATTTTTTGAAAAGTCTCAGGTGGGTTTTGTATATTTCCCAATCTGTCTTGTCATTTTTGCTTTGTTAAATGATATCCTGGCCTTCTTCTTCAGTTCGCTCAGCTCCCGGCTCCCCCAACTCGTGGTTGCTCCAGTTTGCTGAGCTGATATGAGGGGGCTCTTTTTATGGCACATTGTACAGTATTCACGAATACCTCAATCTCTTCATTACTTCTGGGCTCCTAATCTTGTACCGCCAGGTCCTCCCGAAGGTGGCATAGATATTTATCTTTGTCAGTTCCTTGTGGGCCCCGGAACGATTTTTGAGGAGTTTTAGTAAGATTAATGTCAAAATTTATCCAGCGATGATCTGACATTGAGGCAGTATCTGCGACATGCCAGTTTTGGATTACGTTAGATATACGCGCCGCGCCGTAGTCAACGTCACATCTATTAATGTTTGACTTCTCGAGTTAACAAATGTCGGTACACAGGCTCTATTCTACAAAGGTTACTAGCGTTAATATAGTCATATAAGGACTTACTTCTTGTGTTGTTGTCATCACTGCCCCAGGAGACGTGGTGTGAATTGGTGTCACAGGCCATGATAAGTTCCCATTTCTGGGTGCGACAGTGTGCACACTTCCTCCAACTCCCTCGTTGGTGGTGGGGTGACTGAATCCTGAGAGAAATAAACTGATGCAATGACAGCAGGAGTTTGTTTGTCCTTGACTACACATTCCACTTCCACGGCAGTGAGATCAGATGTTGAAAGGTGTTGTAGTGGTTGGGTTTTGATGTGACGTGATGTGATGAGAGGTGACAGGCCGTCCTCGGCCTGTCTGTGTTGGATGTGCTGAAAATACGCCCAGTTAATTCATTTAAACCTGACATCCTGGATTTAACTACCCAGGGTTTCTTGTATTAGTGCCAATGTATCCACATCAAGGCGTCGGTGGCGACATAAACAGCCGTTGCCACCCTGCTATATTGCAGGTTACACTGTACCACATTTACCTGTATAAAACCAAACATGTAAAGCTGCATGGTGTTGTCTTCTTATCCCTCAGCCTCCTAAGAGGAGGGGAGGATTTCCCTTTCTCCCCGCGCCAGCTGGGACACCATTGTGCATGAACCACATATTTTACCTTGCCTTCATCAAAAAGTCGTTTAAATTGTTTTCTAAAAAATTGAGATAATTTTCTCCTTCTAGGCGACGCAGCATAATGTGGGATCCTACTAGGTAATGTCCTATAATACCTATCCATACATTCAGACTGAGTGTGTGCTGGTGGTATAACTCGCACGTATTGTGAGGATTGTCCTCACTCCAGGTATGCATATTATGGGTATTAAAATCCTATGCCTTGTAAAAGTTGCTTCGTCAGTGAATAATACAAAAATAGAGAAATTACGATTTCTGTTTAACATTTGCAACATTCTTTTGCAAAAAGTAACTCTTCTAGGAAAGTCTTCAGGCAGCAACTCTTCTACTTTTTGAATATGGTACGGCTTTAACTGTTACTCTAGTAATACTCGGCATTCTACAGATTGTGATACATTGCCTTGTAGGCGTCGAGAAATTTATCCCGTGGAAACTGTAGAATTTTTCTCGACAATATTTAAAATCATTTCTTCAGTACATATCGAGCTTGACCAGCATCATTATGTCTGGATTTAAATAAACCCTGTGGCACAAGACGATTTGAAAATTTGTCCATCTAACCGCAGCTCTCGAATTACCGTGACATTCGGCTAAAGTAACCAACAAATTAGTCTGTTCACCAAAAGTAAAGTTCACCATTAATCCGATCCAATTATCGCGTTTACCTAATATTAGTCCTATCAAAAAATTTCAAGAGAAAAAAACCTTTTGAAATTAAATTATCTGTCCAATAATGCTGCACAAGTCATCAAAATATGGAGTATAAAAAAATACAGGGTGAAACAAAGAGCAACTCTAACTTACTTCGGTGGTTTTCGGATTGGACTAGTCTTGGCGACGGCTGGAGTTAAACTGAATTTTCAAATTCCGTTTGTTTCCTAAGTTCCTCGTCTCGGATTTGCGGCTGCGCAATTCTTCTAAAAGGGACTTGTAAAATTCTTACTTTCCTGCGACGGTGATGTATTTGCTGACTGGAGCTGTTGTCGGCTCGACCGATCACTGTAACGGCTGGAGACAGACTGATTTGTGCGAAGCGGGCTAGCAGGCCATCGACTCCGAGCTACGCGGTGTGTCATGTTGATTCAGACGGCGTGAAAAATGCAAAATGTCGGTGCAGTAATATTTATTACAAATAAATTCAAAAGAGCACAAATGCAGGATGTCGAAAAATCACTTTGTTACAAGCTAACGGTACCTGAATTATTTCTACAAAAAACTGCTAGTGGAGTATATTTTTCTTGGGAAAATGGGGCGACACCTCCAGTAGCATACCACTGGTTAAAGCCACGAGATTAATATTACCTTCAATAAAAGGACTAATTAAGTAAATACGCTGTAGTAAATTTCATTCAATTCCATCAGCGCATCATGAAGATATGGCCACAAAAGTGGCCATTTTGTCAAAAAATTGAATTCCCAAAAACGTGTTCAAAATCATTTATGGAACCTTTCTGACCTTTTTCAGAATTACGGGAAAATTCGGAAACGCCATTTTTGTGAATGTCCAAAAATGTGTCCAAAAATTCTGGAAAAATGTTTGCAGATTCCTCGAATGTGTACAAATAATTTTTGTGAGATGAGATTTTTTTACAATACTTTCCCAGTTTTCAGTAGAACGATTTCTGATATGTGAAAATTTTTGGATGATTGTGGCCATTTTTAGCGGCAACGGAAAATTTCTCTCCGAAATTTAAATGGACAGTCTTGTAGGGCTTTCCAAGATGAGCATTCCCCCATAAAAAAGTCCGGCAAAATCTCAATCTCGTGTTCCGTAGGGTCATTTTTGTGTGAAAAATCTAGTTTTTTCCGTGCAAAAAAAAATTTTGGAGTCAAATTCCGCGAAAATGAAGACCCAAAGTGAAAATTGAGAAAGAGAGATCGATGGAGAATTTTATGACGAACATTTAAAAAAAAAATCACCTCAAACGGGCCAACCTTAAGGGGTGTACAGTAATTTGGGTGGCACAGTAGCGCTTCGCGCCACTGTGCGACGTCTGAATACTTCTAACTTTGAATTCAACTTCAACTTGAAATTTAATAAATTTAGAAAATGTCGAAAGAAGTTTATTGAAGGTAATATATCGGAAAAACAAACTGCAATTCACCAAACATTCAGTATAACTTACATTTAATTGCTTTGATAACAGTTGCTTTATTTATTTTTAAAATATTTCTTAAATATGCAAATCTACAAAAAAAACCGCTAATGGTAAGTATTCCAGATTCCACAGAGCAAATTTAAATTAACCTGCCCTGTAATCCATTTAGGCCATGAAGAAGTTATTACGTATAGATCATATTGTCGTGGATTTACATAGGTCGTTAGTTTATTTGGCAACTTAGCCCCACGTTGGGCGCCATGTCGCGGATTTATGTAGGTCGGTTGTCTATCTTCTGTCATAGCCCCACGATAGGCGCCATGTCTTCAATTTTGCTCGATATGATTAACTCTCAGTGGAGTTGACCTACTCTCATCTCCCTTCAGCATATTGAGAGGACTGTAAGCCCTTATAATGGAGCCGGAAGGAGTGTACCTGTCTGGGTCCATTTTCACCTACGCTGCTGGGACGTTAGTCGCCTGCTCGCCGATGGAAAAGTTTCCAGGTGTCTCATACGTTTCCCTTTTAACGTTAGCTCCTGGGGCCGTTAAGGAAAGACGCGGAGATTTCTGGTCTTCCTACATTGTGAGTTCTACTTGCTTTGAATTGATGATCCACGCTCCAATTTGTTTCTCGTTTACCCTAAGACGCACTGTAGGCTCTGGCACCTAGTTTTTTTAAAAGTTTGTATTACTTGAAATGTTTTGTACAACAGGTTTTGTTATTGATCACTGGCGAGTCTGTTACCCTAGTGTCTAAAAATCTTTGCACTGTAGAAGCATTGTAATGTACGACCTCCGTAGAGCTACAGATACGTTAAGCTTTTAAAAGCTTGATAATATTTTAGCATAAAAGCTGTGTATGAAAGTACTGCGCTCGGTTTGTGTAATTTTTAGGAGAATTATAACTCGAAATGCGGTTTAAAAATTCACGAACTTTATTAATTCTTTTTAAAATAGTAATATGTGGGCAATGCAGTGGTTGCGATACGAATTCAATGTTGATGCTCTTGGCTCTCGTCGGTGACCTCGACGAAAGAGCAGCAGACTTTGTCGTTGTCGTCCGAGGGTATCTTTTCTTCGGTGAAAAATTTTGAAACATCGATGATTTTTTAGATATATTCGCGTTTGGAGGAATGCAGCGCTCGGTCGCGCACTTATCTACAGCTCATGGATGTTTTTGTGACGATGAAGACAACCTGTCAAGCCCACCTCGACGATCAGATAGTGTTTGCTGGAAGCTCTCGATTTGGTAGAACTTTATCGATCAGGGTGCTTTCATTAGTTGATGAATTCTGAACAGTTTTTTAATATTTTAGTTGTGGAAGACAGTTCACTTAAAATCTCGCTACATAGAAAAAATCAAATGTAAATCTGTCTTATGGAAAAAGTTACACATACAGGTTTTTAAAAACTCTTGCACCTTTCAAGTTATTTATAAAATGTAAATATCTTCCGAACAGTTAGGTTTAATTCCATTTAAAATCAAAGAGTTCTATTTCCGATAGAACTTAGAGTAGGACATTGTCATCGATAAAACATGACGTCAGATATAGACCCGGTACTTTGAGTGTCGATTAAGGCTTGATTAACTAATCAGGCGATTAGACTGTAATTATACTTTATAAAATAAATAGTAAATTATGTACAGTCTAATCGCCTGATCAGTTAATCAAGCTTTAACCGAGACTCAAAATACCGAGCCATAAAGGACCAAAATCAGCGCTAAATTAGTTTCAGAGTTACGTGTACTACTGTCGACGTGTATGTTTAAATTTCAATAATATACACATACGACAATGTCCAAAATCAAATTTAATTAGATAAATATTGTTATAGCTAAATATGCCATTGCGACTTAACAAGTCTCGACGCACAATAATACATATTTTCTTCTTTCAGGCAACCAATGAAGAAAATGGAAACTACAAACAATTTGAAAATAATTTACCCAAGGTACACAATCTGTCATCGTATACCGCAATAAAAAATTTTGTGTCTTTAACTGAATTTACTATAAATAACAAAAATGTGTATTTTACTTACAAAGGATCTTTAACAACTCCTCCATGCTCCGAGGTGGTAACATGGATAGAATTTAAAAACACCATTCCTTTGTCTCATGAGCAGGTAAAATAAAATTATATAATTTATGAACTTCAAATATATGAAACATTACACGTATTCTACAAACATAAAAATACAATTTTTTCAAAAATGTTGATTATCATACTGAAGTCACAAATAGATATCTTTGAAAAACATCTGTCCAAAATAAAAGAGAACAATAACAGAAATAAAATAATTTTATTTTACGATTTTAGAGTAACTGTAATGTTTTTATTTTATTTTCAAATAAATAAATAAGTAATATTTTGTTATATGCTCCATAAGAACTAGCCATGCAGGATGTTTAGTTGCTGATAGACCAAATGTCACTAATAGACTTACGGCAAACATTAAGAAGGATACCTAGTTCGAATAAAATTTTGTTGAAAAATGCTTCGTTCTCGAGATAAAAAATAAATGTCGCGCCAATGTGTAAAAGACTTCTACAGCGTGTCCCACTAGTGCGGGAAAGTCCAATATCATTTTAACGTAGATATTGGACTTTCCCTCACTAGTGGGACACGCTGTATATACAGACTGTTACAAAATCGCTTCTCACTACAGGGATCTGGAAAACGGTAAGAGATACGAAGTAACTTAAATGGGGGCAAAGTTGCATAATCGGTGGACCAACATTATGCCTCTAAAAAATCAATTAACATGATTAGTTTTCGAAATATTTGAAAAAAACGAAATTTTGGAAATCTGTTTTTGTCTTATTTCCGCCTTGTTTGAGGTGATATTGAAAGAAGAATACTTCCTCGTGACAACTTTTTGCCCTCTATCGAATGGCATTTCATTTTTTTAAATACGACCCTGAAATTTTTATTACATTTTTTGCAAGCTTTCATAATCCCCAATACTGTACTGCCTCGGCCCGAACCAGATTCAGACGTTTTGGCGCGAAAAATTCATCTTCAATGTTTTCGTTCCTTATTAAAAATTTTTATTTAGATTTCTGTTTATTAAATTATCGTACACTCTACGTGTCGTTTGACCTTGTGAAATCCACCTAGTTATTTAAACTACCCTGATTATGCAATTTTTGCCCCCATTTAAGCTAGTTCGTATCTATTACCGCTTCCGAGATCCCTGAAGTGAGAAGCGAATTTGTAACACTCTGTATAATCCACTAAACAACATTTAGTATCTGCCTTAATGTGTATGATTGTATAATGTAAAAAAAAAGTTTTATAAGGATACAATTTATCAAAATGATAAGAGTTTGATTATCATAGAAGACTCCAAAATGCTGTAAAAAATTAAAATTCACTTTTCTATGGAACAGCATTTTAGCGATTTGTCATATACCCTCAAGCAAGTGTACAACAGAAGTCACAGATTCCTGGACTCAAAATATGCTGATTTAAACTAATTCATCTTCAAACGAAATCACTTCGTTTGGCCACTAAACACATATTTTCAAAAAAATGTTATTTTTTAAATAACTCAAATACGTGTGATTTTGAATATTACTGTTTTCTACATATCTTACCACCCATCTACAATACTGGGAAATATTTTAATAATTACAACAAAATAGCTGCCGTTTTCTTGTATACAAAAATGTTCTCTTCATAAAAAGGTAAAGTCGTTCCATGGCATGCCTTATTTCTTAAAGTGTTTATTGTATTTACAATTATATTCTGTATAGTCGCTCTTTATTCTTTACTGGATAAGAATACATTTTTTATTTCAAAGCGCCTCTCAAAAAATAATTGCGGATTGTCTAAGCCTGGATCCACATGCATCACGGATCCGTTATAACTACGTGACCATCAACATCCAATTCATTTTGAAGGAGTGTCAAGTCTCTTTACTGATGCACAATTGAATGTTGATGGTCACATGGTGGCAACGGATTCGTGATCATGCATGCATGTAGGTCCAGGCTAACAATCGCAATGGTAACTTTTTGGGAACATCTTGCCCTCTTCCGATGCACCGACCAGGATACCGCACATGTAAAAATTGACGAACAGTTAATGTGAAATGAGGAGGCGTACCGTAATGTATAAACCACATTTCGCAGCAAGTAACAACGGTAGATCTAATGTGGTAAGATTTGATTTAAAAAATTAAGATAATTTTCTGTATAGTAGCTGTTTAGTAATATATCAGAACCTATAATATACCAATGACTCCAGCCAAAATTAATTTTGAATCCATGTTGATAAGTGGTTACTTTAACATCCTAAAGACTTTCATCGGTGAAGATATGCTCATCGTGAAGATTAGTTTTGCCAGATCTTGTAAAGGTAGTCCCATTAGTATTTTTTTTTAGTGAAATTTATATTGCGGATTTGTTTATTTCGTATAAACCGACAGAAATTTAGCAGCATTTTTGGGATTATGGTTAGAAGATCAGAACTTACCAATCATTCAAAGCAGCAAAGAGTTTAGCTATGAAAACAGCTGATTTGTTTTAAATATAATATATGATATTGAAGCAAAAGAATTCAATAACAAAATGGAAGAAAATCAATTGAAACGGTAATACACACACATAACGGATGTTACTAAAAAATGCGCAAATGTCAATTTAGTGTCATTAGTCACAATGATTCGTTTACAATGAACAATGACCAACCGTTGCATCTAAGCTCGAGATAATGGATCACCGTATGGTTGACAAATGTTGTTTTTTAACATAATCTTTAAGATATTTTGGTAATTTTTAATTTTGCCAGAATTTAGTTACTTGAGTTGTAATCATTTATAAAGGTTCTGTAATTGCTAGCAACCATTCCTCTACAATAACACATAATAATATTCTCTTACTCTTCTTGATCTTAGTTTTGATTGAAGTTTAAAAGTTGCTTTGTAAATTCTGATTTGATATTATTTCATTTTTTGAGACCGTTTTTTTCCTATTTAACTGTTTTAATACCATTTCCTTAATTACCGAAATATTTTTTAAAATATACAGGGTGATTCAGTCATAATATGATTAATGTTAACCATGTATTCGGAAGGCCCAACAAAGACAAAATCGAAAAAAAATTTTCGACCTTTTAAAAAATAAGCAAATTACGCCTTAACTTCCGTTAACTCGGCGCTCCACTTAATAGGAAATGCGCCGCGCCCTGCCGGTCGGCGTAGTATACAGCGATCGAACATTGTCGAAAATAAGATCTTATTTTTCTACAAAACAAGTGGACCTTAATGATATAGACGAAAAGGTGACTGAACTTCGCAAAGCTTTTCAAAGTAACGGAGTTTCTCAATCTTTAAAAATACATGTGATCCTCGATCATTTAAAACAGGGCCTTATACATTTGAATTGCGATGGTTTAGGATTGTGGTCTGAATAGGCTGGAGAATCGGTCCATAGAGAAATTCTCAAATATTGGGAAAGATTAAAAATAAACGCGATTGATAACGAAACGTATTCGAGCCAATTAAAGAAAGCGGTAGTCACATTTTCTTCTCAATACATATAAAATAAAAAAAAATAACTTATTCTTCTTTCAGCTAGTGGATTAGGTCTACAGGAGGAACCACTTTAAAAAAAAACGCGCCGTGATATCTATCTCATTGACGGTGTGGAAATGGTATCTGATCTCCAAGAGAGTAGTTGAACAAAAAATGTATATATGTACATATAATATATATAAGTTATAAATACTGCACACAAATAACAAATATTTTTATGTATCAATGACTTTTTATTTAAATTATGCTAAATAAAATTTTACAGCATGGTTGAAAAATGAAAAATATCGATATATTCAAAACAGGATCAGCTAGGATTTTAAACCAAGCATTTTTTTAATGTATAATCAATATCAAATACGATGGCGTTGGCCGATTTTATCGTCATTTTCAAGCAACCTATCGTTGCTTCAAGCCTGGTGTGAAGTAGGTACTTTGAAAAATAACAAGACACACAATAAGGTATACGTACTACAAACTGAATAATTACTTGAACATAATACTACAAACTCATATTCAATTATAAAACGGGATGAAAACGTTAACAATATTGAAAATACTGAGTTGTATAACCTAACATTCCAAAACAGTTATTATCCTTATACGTTTGTTTTGTTAACAAATAAATAATACTTGTTAATATTTAAGATGTAAAAATTATCTCATTCATTAATGTGTTTAGCTAAAAAGCTGTCTTTATTCGATGTAGCTTCCTACGGATTAAAAAGGCATTAAAAACTGGGTTAATGACCCATATTACGGTAGGTCGAGAACCTTTGTAGATCAGCGGTCAGAAACGATACGAAAAGGGATTTAAACAATGATTTAAATATTTTTTTTTCATTTCAATTCATTTCATTTTTCAATATACAGGCTGTTACAAATTCGCTTCTCACTACAGGGATCTCGGAAACGGTAAGAGGTACGAAGTAGCTTAAATGAGGGCAAAGTTGCGTAATCAGGGGACCAACATTATGCCTTTAAAAAATCAAGGCTAACATGATTAGTTTTCGAAATATTTGAAAAAACAGAAATTTTGGAAATTCGTTTGTTTCATTTCAGCCTTGTTTGAGGTGATATTGAAAAAAGAGTAACACTTTCTCATGCCCACTTTTTGTTCTCTATCGAATAGCATAATAAATTCTTATATGTAACGTTTCGTCTCTCCAGGACCATCAACTTCATTTTTTTTTAACACGACTCTGTAAATTTTATTACATTTTTTGCTAGTCTTCATGACCCCCGATACTGTACCGCCTCAGCCCGAACCAGATTCAGACGTTTTGTCTCGAAAAATTTATCTTCAGTGTTTCGTTCCAAAATCTAATTTTTTTATTTAGATTTCTTTGTTTATTGAATACACTGTAAGTGTCGTTAGACCCTGTGAAATCCATCTAGGTATTTAAAATATTACCACCACGTATTAAAATAAAACATTATTAGAGTTTTATTCCCGTGTCCATAGTTATTTCTAGACTTAAAATTCAAACAAATTCCGATCTATTTTTTCCAGGATATTCATACAAATACATCTGACATTCTCTTTCACAGTTGCTGTTACAGATATAATAAATTCCGATATTATTACGCTGATGTTCATTTTCAACCTTTGCCAAAACGAACATGTTTTTGAACATTTTCTGAAATTAAAAAAAAAAATAATATTCAGTTGGCGTATTGCTTGTTCATATGCATTTTTAAGAATTAATTTGTCATAATAAAATTAAAACAACTTATTGAGTTATGTACGACCAAGTGATGATAATAGTTAAAAATAATAAATGTTTTATTGTAATGCGTGGTGATAATAGTTTATATAACTAGATGAATTTTACAGGATCTAACGACATTAACAGTGTACGATAATTCAATAAACAAAGAAATCTAAATAAAAAATTTAGATAAATTTGGAACGAATACACTGTAGATAAATTTTTGGAGACAAAACGTCTGAATCTGATTCGGGCTGAGGCAGTACAGTATTAGGAGTCATGAGGGCTTGCAGAAAATCTAATTAAATTTTTAGGGTCGTATTTGAAAAAATGAAGTTGATGATGGTCCTGGAAAGATGAAACGTTACATACAAAAATTGATTATACCATTCGATAGAGGGCGAAAAGTGGCCATGAGAAAGTGTTTTTCTTTTTTCAATATCACCTCAAACAAGGCGGAAATGAAACAAAAACGGATTTCCAAAATTTCGGCTTTTTTCAAATATTTCGAAAACTAATCATGTTAGCCTTGATTTTTTACAGGCATAATGTTGGTCCCCTGATTACGCAACTTTGCCCCGATTTAAGCTACTTCGTACCTCTTACCGTTTTCGAGATTCCTGTAGTGAGAAGCGAATTTGTAACAGCCTGTATGTTTTGAAATTTTTTTATTCGTGTAATAGGGAAGGAGGGTTAAGTTGAATTTGACCTATTAATTTCAGAGATACAGATTGTTAATAAAAAAAAACCTAAATACTTTTACAAATTTATTTGCAAACTTTTTTTCTCTCCATCAGCTGCGATAAAACTGTTGATCCGTTTTTAAAACTACTTTAAATGTTTAATGTACTTAGTCACATTTTTATGGATCACAGCTAAAATTAGTTGTTCAGTGTCAGCCCTTATGTTATGTGATATTTCCTTTTACTGTTCGTAATAAATTGAAATAATAAATAATAGTATCAGAACGAGTATTGAGTGAATTCACACTTCGTTAACATTATGGTTTATTCGATTCTAGAAAGGGTGGAAATAATTGCAATCTTTTATGGAAATAATCAGTGTGCTAATAGTACAGCAGAAATTTTAAATCAGCAATACTTGGATAAATATGTTCACAGAAAGTGCATTTTGGAGTTACTGGCCAAGTTTGAGGAGACTGGATCTGTAGGTAATAAAAAGCGACACCCCGAAAGAAATGAAGCAATAGATATCGCGATTCTTGAACATGTTGCTACATATTCCAGAACGAGTACGAGGCAACTGGCAGCTGAATCCGGTTTTGGGCAAAACAAAATTCGAAAAATTTAGAAACATCGTAAATTTCAACAATACAAAATTCACCTCGCACAGGAACTTCATGAAAATGATATGACCGCCGACTACAATTTTGTGAAACGAGCTATTAACAATCTTAATTTTATTTTTGATATCTATTTCTCGGATAAATGTTATTTTTCTTTTAATGACCGTTAATCATCATAATTGTCGTTATTAGTTCGATTCTAACTCAATGATATTTTATGAGAGTCATACACTACATCAGGAAAAATTAAATGTATGGGCTGGAATTTTTGGTAACCGTATTGTTGGTCCTTTTTTCTTACTAGGTAATCTCACCGGGGAGATGTATCTGGATTTGTTGGAGAACAACATTGATCCAGCGTTGGACAAACATTATTGAGAATAATGAGAATTATCTCGAAGACCAGTTGATATTCCAACAGGGTGGAGCTCTCTCACATTACGGTCTGCCTGTTCGGGTATCTTGATCATTGGTTTGCGAATCAGTGGATTGGGAGAAGAGGCGTCATCATTCTGCACGATCGCCGAATTTGTCTCCTTCGGACTTTCTCTTGTACCCCACTTAAAGTTCAAAATTGATTTCACTCCACCTACCTCCCTTCAAGATCTACGCCAACGCATTGTCGGCGAATGCCGCCAAATTACTCCAGAAATCTTACAAAATGTGCGTAACGCTTTTTACAAAACTTATTACTATATCGAGGCTGGAGGTCATCAAGTTGAACACTTAATAATTGACTGACATGTGGTCACTTGCAAATAAATTTGTAAAAAGTAATTTTTTTATTAACAACCTCAACTGATGTGGTGTTATTTGTCGACATGCTTGTCTAATTATATTACATGAATCTTAATTAAAAAAAAAATTAACATGTTTTCTAGGATTTTATGTGATCGAATAATCGGGCCCTTCTTTTTTTATGTTAATCTAAAGGCAGAGATTTTTATGAATGTTTTAAATAATTATTTCTGAGATTCAGTACATGCATTTCCTCTTCATGTAAAACAGAACCTCGCACCTATTCATAATGCGGTAATAGTACGTCATTGGTTGAATGAGTATTTCCCGAGAAAGTGGATAGGTCGCAACAGTCCGTTAATTGAGTGGCCGTCAAGAGCTCCAGACTTGACGCCTCTTGATTTATTTTTATGGGTAACTGTCAAAAAGATAATGTATAAAACAAGGCCCCAGAGCAGAGAAAATGTATACAATAGACAGGCATGTCGACAAATAACACCACATCAGTTGAGCAGAGTTACTAGAAATAAGAGGAGACGAATTGAACAGTGCATACCAAATGACGGTGAACTAATAGAAAACAGTAATATTCAAATATTATTTCGTTGTGAAACTCATTTCTAGTATAATAAAAAATATATATAATTTGGCTGTCCTATTGTGAGCACCCTGTATGAGTGAAATTAATGAAACTGCATGGATATACCTTGGGTTAATAAAATTATGAAAAAATACCTTGAAAATATTTTCCACTGTTAATACAGGACACTGCAAAACGTGTAATTTTTCGAAGTTTGCACCTATTTTGTGAACACCCTGTAAAAGCTATAATAATGAAATTTTGTATTTAGCGTTTTGAGGTGTGATCAAATCGAAAATGCTATCCATTTCTTTCTTAAAAAACTGCCTAATATGTGTTTTAATTTTTGAGGGTCTTTTCTTAATGATAGTAGGCCGTAGAAAACATCACATGTCAAAAAATATAATATCAAAAAGTAGGGCTTTTTGAGTACTACCACATAAAAAAAAGAATTTTGGAAATCGGCCAACGCCGTCCTAAATATGGAGGTGTCCCGACTTTAAGTGAAACACACTGTATATTGTTTTTACAACATTCTGAAATACAGTCTGTTGATTATAAAAGCCATATGCAATTTTTTTTCCAACGCGTTCTATTTTATATGAACTAGAAAGTGAGCACCGTAAACTAAAGTCAAAGGCTGAAAGTTTTCTTATTTTTTCTCAAAAATTTCGTTATGCAAAGGTGTATGCCTTTTTTTCATTTCATATGGATGGAAAGAAAATAAAAAATCAATCAAAACGTGCAAAAAATTTATACAATCCCATTAAAAAATATATCGATGATGTCACCACTCATCTACAATGTGACATAAAAAAAAAATTTGTGCGTCAGTATAAAGAAATTAACCCATTTAAAAATATACATATATATTTTACAGGATATGTCCATGGGTAACCGAGTTACAGCTCAGGGCGTTTATAATCATGCATCATGCATGTATGCATGTATAATATTAATTTTCTTTATGAAATGTTTTTTTTATTGCGCGTTCTGTTAAAACAATTTTTTAACCATTTATTATTGTTTTCAATCGTGAAGTTTTAAATAAAAACGAAATGTCGACTAAATTGTAAAAATCCGATTTGTGATTATTGTGAATCTAAATATACCTAAAATCTTTTTATTTTCAGATACAAGCATTCAGATTGTTAGCTGGACAAGGTGGTCAACTTACACATAATTTTCGACCAGTTCAACTCCTATATGATAGAGTTATTTATATGAATTCCCCTTCACACATTTTTAGAATAGACAACACATTTATGATTATAAATGCATTGGTATCCTTAATATATTGTAATATAACAAAATAAAAGATTTATTTTACAATCTTTATTTATGCTTATTCAATGGCATTTAACTGCATTTTATAAGTTTATCATATATTTTTTAATCTATTTACTTGTTGCTTACTATTTTTAATGAAACATTAAATAAAATGTTGGTTGGAAAACGTTTTATAGGTTTTCTACAGAATATTCACATAACATTGTACCTCTTTGTCTTTTTTGCCTTTCTATATAAAAAAAAATAAAGAAAACAGTTTTTGGAAATTTTCTTGCAATTTCAAGAAAATATATAAAAACAATTAAATATTACGTTTAGAAATTTTAAACTTAATCTATTTTTAATACCCTATATATTTTTCTCTTCTTGAAATCCTCTCTTTTTTCCTATTAGAGTAATAGATAATAGACTTTTTAGTGTGACGTCACATATTTAGGCAACCCGCAACAAACTGTCATAGTTGAAATTGTACAGGCCGAATCTGACCCTTGTAGGTATACTATTTACATGTTACTATAAAAATGAATAACTTCAAATGAATTTATTTTTACAAGGATTTAGAAGTATTTAAGAACAACCAACACGTGTTTCGTAAAATAGATACACTAATGTACTTAAAACTTACAAAAAACGATATAAAAGTATATTCCTAAATTTAAATAAAGTAAAAATTTAACATTAGCCATGCCATAATGTCCTAATGCTCATGCTCGGAAAGAATAACCTCATAAGAAGTAGGTAATAGCTTTGTTCCAAGTGCATTAGAATTAGTTTCCAACAGTCCGACGAAATCGCATTTGATTCAAAACAATAAATTTTGAACCTTAATTATGTAAGCATTATATCGATATGCGCATGCGTCTGACTGTTAGAAACTGTTTTGTATTCTACTATTGTTGTCATGTTATCACTGTCATTATAAGCGTATTTTCTTTTGTTTTGTTTAATCTTGGCATTTTCTAATTCTACTAAGTATTTTTATTGTTTTTGTTGATGTTGTACTGTGTCAGTGTATTTATCGAGTGCTTTTTGTGGTTTATTATAGACGTACTCTTAACCACAACCAAACCATTCTTGAATGATATCCTGTCGCGAGGCTACTTCGCTTACATAAAATTATCTTTAATGCGCATGCTCAGTAATATAATTTTAATTTCTTAATTACTATAAAAGTCAGTATTGTTTTATAAATTTAAATAATATATAAACTGTAAAATTCTATTAGTTTGTCACTTGTGGTCTGAAACTTCTTAAATATTTCTAATATTGCCAAAATATCGCGATATTTAAGGTCATCACAAAGAAGCCACTTTTTTGGCACTTATGTCCAAAGTACATAAGGTACTAGTAAAAATATTGAGAAATTCTTCAAACAATGTGCACTATGGGGTTGCCTATTATTTGGCGTATGTGACGTCACTACTAAAAAATACTATTGTCATATATTTGTTTACAACAGTTTTTATAATTTAGTTTATTTACTGACTTCACAATAGATATGTATGTTCAATTTTGTCATGTAACCCATACGTATTGTACTCTTTTGCTGCTAAATTTCCCAAATATGTAGTGTCCTTTTTGCATTCGTCTGCGCAGAAGGGAACGGAAGTAGGGGCAGAAATATGTGTTTGGGTGTGTTGTCTTGTATTTGTTAATTAGATTGTCAAGTTTTTTGTGTAATTGAATTGTTTTTGTCCGATTGTTTTAATATTATTTGCCGCAATTTGTTTTATCAGGATCTGAATTTGTAAGCTTTGTCTGTCGTTTTGTTCGGCTAGTTTGCGTATTTGCCTTCTCAGTGCTTTGTTAAGGTGTTGTTGTAATTTGTCGTATGGGTCGGCTTGTGTCCTGGTGTTTCAGGTGGAATTTTGTCAGTGGAAACCAATTAGGATAAGATCCGGATTGTACAAGCAAGGTGGTTTTTACAGATGAACATTGTTTTACTGGCGACTGCATACTAAATTTTCACAACATCCACATTGTCTGTGTGTGTGTGTGTGCGCGCGTGCGTGTGCATGCGTGTGTGCGTGCTCTTTTATGATTATTTATTAGTGATTAAGAAAATAAGTACATAAGGAAAAAAAAGAAAGAAAATTTTGAAATTAATTTTGATTTGATGATTATTTTTGATTAATTTATTTCCATGTATTTATTTGACTAAAAATTTGTTTTTACTACGAATTTACCGTTGTGAGAAAGAGGCGAACTGTACAAATACATCCAGTACTTGCACTGCATGAATTATTGCATTCGTCGACTTCTAATGGCTCGTCGGCCTTCCCAACCCTCCTCGCTGAGAATTTCGTCCTGGAATATTGACGGGTTCCGGTCCAAAAAAAATGGAACTCATGGACACCTTGAACCGTCTAAACATAGACGTTATGGCTGTCCAGGAGACCTACCTCAGCTAGGCATCCCGTACCTCCATCCCTGACTATGACATATACAGACATGACGGAAACCGTAACGGGGGTGGTCTTGGACTCATGGTAAAGAAGTGCATCGACCATTATCCGCTGCAGCGTCTCCAAACTCAAAATACCGAGGCCGTGGCGATAGCGGTGAGATCGCTACGGTATGGAGTCGTCGCGGTAGTGTCTTGTTACAACCCACCCAGACTACCACTACTTGACAATGACTTAGACATAATCCTTTCCTGACCCCAGACAATTGCCATCGGAGACTTCAACGTGAAGTCCCCCATATGGCACAGCGGGACGCCCCGACATCATCGGCATTGCCCTTCTAAAAACTAATCCGTTAAATGCCCAAATATCCACCCAATACGAAGGGTCTTCCGCCCACAATCCAATAACTCTGGATCTGGGGCGAATACAGAGATATGAAGGTACCTTCACGAGGAGGTTCACTGACTGGGAACGCTTCCCAGTCATCGAAACCACTCATGACCTGGAGGCGACAATCCTCTCCCTCGAGACTGACATTAAAAACGCCCTGACACAGACTACGACTGAGATTATTGTCCCCCGACTGACGAACTCCCAGAGCACCCTCCCCGATGACATGAAAAACTTAATACGTGACAGACGACGTGCGAAACGGCTTACCACCTGCACCCGCCTCCCTCGACATAGACATGAGTTAAACATACTTAACAGTGGGGGAAAGCAGCTCTAGGTGAACTGGCCCAGGACAACCGGGCAAGGCACCTGGAGTCGCTGGATCCACAAGACAACAGCCTCTGGAAAACGCAGAGGGCCCTGCAACAAACCGCTCGCCATAAAATTCCTCCAATCCACGGTAGTGTGGGGGTGGTTTACACGAACCAGGAAAAGGCCGATGCTTTCGCCGACAGCGACATAATCCCCCCTCACATCCCCTGACGAACTAAAACTGACAATATGCAGATTTAAAAACAGAAAAGCCCCACACCCGACAATATACATAACACGACACTTAAACGACTACTAAACATAACAAACGCGACACTCAGACTAAGACACTTCCCTAGCCGCTGGAAAACAGCAAACATAATCCTTATCCCAAAACCCAACAAAGATCACACCTTCCCATCCAACTACCGGCCCATTAGCCTGCCCCCGGCTTTGAGCAAAGTGGTAGGAAAAATCATCCTAACCCGTCTAAGAACCCACTCCCAAGAACTGCAAGTCATTCCAGACGAGCAGTTCGACTTCCGTCCCAATCACTCCACCGAACTCCAAATCCTTCGCCTTACCGAGCACATCACGGCGGCCTTCAACAGGGGACAGTACACTGGTGCTGTCTTTCTGGACGTCGCAAAGGCCTTCGATACGGTTTGGCATGATGGCCTACTGATGAAAATGCTCACCAACCAATATCCCATATCCTTTACCAAATAACTTATAAAATCCTACCTACATCACCGAAAATTCCGCATCCAAATCCAAGACTCCCTTTCCACCCCCCGTCCCATGGAGGCTGGTGTCCCTCAGGGCACCGTCTTGTCCCCACACCTATACATCATTTACAACTCCGACATCCCACATCCCCCCAACACCAACATATACTTATACGCCGACGACCTGACAATCACTTCCCAATCCGTAGACCCTAGATGTTCCGCCTCCCTCCTCCAAAACTCCCAACTTGACCAACTTGAAACCTGGTGCAACAGGTGGAAAGTCAAAATTAATCCCAACAAAAGTTAAGCTATCTTTTTTACCAAACGAAAAATCCCACAAAACCTCGACAGACTGACACTATCCCAGGAACCCATCTCATGGAATCGACAAACACGATACCTGGGCGTGACGATGGACCAGCGTCTCATTTGAAAACCGCACATCGTGGAGACTGTCAGAGCCACCATACTCTTGGTGAATGTTTTTTTTTAGAGAAAAATCTGGGCAGGCAGAAAAAAGAGGTCAGTGTCAAATAAATAAGATTTTCGTTTGAATTTTAATTTTGAAAAGATTCTAATACATCTAAAGAATAAAGATTTATTCAAGATCTTGCGACTTTATTTGGAAAAAACCGAACCGTATGCTTAGGGTAAAACGGGTAGTTTTATCACGAAGCAATTGACATTTTTGGTGACCGTGACAGGACAGGGAGTTTTAAGTGAAAACAAGTCGTTTTTGTGTATGTACTGGGTGTAGTAGAAGCGTATAGACGATCACTGGACAAACTTTTATCGCTTTTAAACGTTTTGGTAATCGTGTGGTTTGACAAAGTTTGCAGTGAAAAATGGAGCAAAAGAAGAAACATCGGAAAGTGCTTCGCACTACTTTTACTAAATCGGCAAATGAATTAGATGAATTATTATCGACGCCGGAAGATGACTTACGACTCATCAAGGTATCAATAGATATTCTGCGACAAAAATTCGAAGATTTAAAACAAGTTGACAACGAAATCTACAATCTTCTATTAGATGATGATGCCAACGAAGAAGATTTGTTAGTGGAGATGGAGGTCAGTGATAATTATATCAAGAAGTTTGCGGATCTGAATAGTCGCTGCGAAGAACGTATGCAGCCCAAATGGACAGACGCCGTGGAAAATGAGGTAACTTCTGTGATAT